TCCTGGGGCAGTGCTGTACAGTGGAGATGCTGAGCTTTCCTCATAGATATGCATTGATTTAATGGATCTCAATGAGGAGATGCTAATTGGCCAGGCTGGCATTTGGCCCCACCTCGCCTCCTTGGCAATCTCAACCAATGCAATGCTTTCCCTATCATTGGATTCGCTGAGATCATCAATTCTGATGATGTCAGCCAAAGAGGAGGATCAGGGGTGGGGCTAGCACCGGCAGACCCGCACTGCACTGGAAAAGGGTATGTTTTAAGGGGGACCAACATTTGGCATCTCCACGCTCAGCACAGAAATGCCAAAATCTCACCATAGGGATGCATCAAATTAATGTGTCTCTATGAGGAGATTCTGATTGGTGCACTGTTCCTCCAAAGCTTTCCAATGGGGAAGCGATAGATTAGCTGAGATCAACAAGACCGATGATCTCAGCGAGAAGAGAAGCAGAGAAGCAGTGCCGGCAGGAAGAAAGGTAAATGAATTGCTTTATTCTATGGATTCAGGAGAACCCAACAATCCAAATAGCTTGTATAACACTCTAACGTTATGAATATACATGTTTTTTTAAAACCATATTAATATGAGGTGTGTTATAGAAGGAATCCAGGTTTGACAAAATTCACTTTGTGACAGAAATGTCCACACTGGTGAAATAAAACTTTAATGAAGACATTTTCTGGGGCTGCATGTCCAGTAACTCCATTAAGATGAGACATTTCAACCCCTGCAGTTAGTCTGAATGCAATGTGAAATAATACGTTTGTGTATTGACCTGATTTGTATTTTACCATCCAATTTGCAAGCACTGAGCATTCATCGAGCACTGCAAGGACACTTTGACATGATCACAGTGATATGTCGGCTACAATCAATGCAAGGGCAATGAATTTTCAATTTCAGACTCAGTGGTACCTTAATTTAACATTGTACGCATGTGTATTTATATAAGTAGAGAAAGAGGACCCCCATAACTGATGGGGTCAATACATAAAAATGGAGTGATAGAGACATAGAGAGAAAGGTATGTACGTACAAGGAGATGGGAGGACGAAGCTGGAGAGGGAGGCACAAGGATACAGCCAGGACATGACTAGGTAGATGTAGACGTGGCTGTAGTGAGTCTAAATAGAAAAACATAAGTGGGTTGGCACAAATATGGAACAAGAGGTAGGGACATGATGAGTGACGAGAGTCAAAACAAGAGAAGGAAAGGCAGATGGAGAGGACAAGAGCAAGAACATAGAGACAGTGGAAAAAAGTGATCTGTGCATTTGTGTGTGTATATATATATACAACCCCATTTTCACCTTGCTTCACTGTCGGGCTGGCATGGGTGGCAGTTACATGTTACAGGAAACCTGAGCTTTCCGCAGTTGCTAGAAGATCAGGATATCGTCTGTCTTTTTACAGTGCCGTTACTCAGTGATTTGTACTAAGCTGAATCGGGGGGACCCACCCACTGAGAAATGGCCCCTGCCACACAACAAAATACTGCACTCAACAAAGATGAAGAATATATATATTATATTGAACAAAACATGTATTGTAATATAAAGATCCAGCTGTTGCACTTATCCCATTCAGTTCTAGCCGTGGGTGCACAGTCATGAAACTTGTAAAACACAGAGAACGGACTAACTTGTACCATCAGCTCCCACCCAAATGTAGGTGTTCTTCCCATCCAGTTGTCCCTGTGTTGGTGCACTTTTGGGGCCCTTGATGCAGGTAGCGCTGCCTGGGGAAACAAAGGCATTAACGCTGATATATTATTAGTAAAGTGCCTCTCCTTAATGTCTTGAGACAGCTCTGAGATGCCGCCCATTTAGCCTCCTGGTTGAGGGTGAAACTGTCTTCTTACACAGATGCTTTTCTGCAGCTCTGCTTTACCTTCGCTGGTACTATGTCAGGGTGCAGGACTGGAACCCTCAGGGTTACTACTGGGAACCAGCAGCACCCTTATAATGTATGCATGTTAAGGTGAGTGCAGCCATATTGGTTTCATATATAAATATATTTGGGAGTCCAGGCCAACTTTATGGTTTTACACTACCCTGTCACAGGTGCCTCATTCCTGGGCCCTATTGAAGCTTTCCCTGCAGAGAGTCCCAGTAAGGAAGCATTTCCCAAATAAGTGGATTAATCTCATAAGAGTTGGACCTGCTAAAAATGGAGTGCATTGACATTGTGGCAGGCTTATGCAACGTATGATCATACACTGTAACTAAACCCCCATTGTTTTTGCCTAAACTATGAACTTTGAAGCTGGTGTTTAGTCAGCGAATGAGTGTGCTGGATTAAAGCTCTTTGGGCATAATGCAAAATACGTAACCTTCGCGTTTTCCAGACCAGCCATCTCTGTATTTTTATTTTACTTAATGAAACAAATTATTGGTGTAACATCTTAAAATCAATATAAGATATTAAGATGTTACACCAATAATTTGTTTCATTAAGTAAAATAAAAATACAGAGATGGCTGGTCTGGAAAATGTGAAGGTTACGTATTTTGCATCAAGCCCAAAGAGCTTTAAATCATTTTTAACCAGTAATTGGTGTTTGCACTTATAAAACTATTCATCTTCTGCTAATCCTATAAACATTAATTGTGAGATGTAGGTGTGCACAGCAAATTTTAGTAGGATGTGCACCCTGAGAAAAGAAGGTGCAACGTACACTGGTTTCCTCTGTTGATAATTAGGTATTAAGTGCATGCAGACGTAGTCATAGATTATATATTCAAAAACATAGCAAGCTAGCCCAAACAGTGTCCACACTGCCCTAAACAAGTAATGGGAAGATAATTAGGCTCTACATTAGGGAGCACCTGGACACACCTGGCACATCCCCCGTGCACACCTCTGTTTTTGTTGTGGTAGAAGATTTAGTTGACCTGACTGTGCTCTGATCCAGACACTCTGAAAAGAAAATGAAACATTTTAAATAAAACCTATTTTGATTCACACTACTAAGTGAAGGTTTCCGAGAACGTATGAACAGAACCTTCCTTTTATTATGTATATACTTTAATTTTTTATTTTTTCAGCTTATATTAGCGGTGAAGGTCTTTGGCACTTTTGAACAGGACCTCTTATCCTTGTGTATATACTTCAGTTATTCATCAGTTTATTTAATTGTATATACTTCAGTTAATATATACATTCTCAGGTTTCTGTATATTTTGAAACAGAACCTACCTATTCCTGTATCAAACTATCTCAATAGTTACAGGAAGTCTTCACATATTTTCCTATTTTGATTGTCACCTATTAGAGTGTATATATACTTCAGTTTATCATTTAGTATTATCCTAAATATAGGACATCTATACGATATTTTATTATTACTATTAAAGGTTAAATTTTATTTCCACATAGGACACTCATTTCTTCTCTTTTTTTCACTAACTAAATAGAGGGTTAACCATTGAGTTCGATGAGAAAGCTGCTATACGATTACTAGAGACATGCTTAGATTTTATAACAGAATCTATCTCTGGGTGTGTGACAAAGCTGGATATGGGTTCCATTGTTTTCACTGACTCCTGGCAATAATATTTTGCAGCGACGATTAATTTTCATAGTTTCTTTAAATGTTATCTCATTATGATATGTGATTACTGAGAGAAAGGTGAATTAATACCTACAATAATTAGGTTTGATACATTCATTATGGTTATTAATGTGTAAGATGTTTTTATCAAGGTCTACTATTGTCTTTTATGTTTCCTCTCTGTATTTGTTTAGTTTATACAGTTTATGTTCTATATTTAGTTGGGCAGCTACTGAGAGATACACCTTGCCAATTCTGTAATTTAGAGTAGGATCGGTATCAACACCCCTCTTCCTTTGACTCTAATCGCCCCCTCTGACTCACCTTAAAAGTAACAGCTCAGTAGACAGACACAGGTACACACAACAGAAAAAGACAGACATGACAAGCTAGCAAAGGAAGGACAAAGTCACATGTCCCACTTGTATTGCCATTATAAAATGCAATTATAATATTATAACAAACTTGAAAAGTATAATAACTCAAAGCACATTTCATGAAGAACTGCAATATTGCTATTACTCACTTTAAGATACGCCTTACAAAAAGTCTTCACAAGTGAGGGTAATAATTACTTTTTAATTGACTAGAACAGTGGTCCTTAACTTCTGGGTCAGGATCCAAAACCGAAACAGGCACATATTTGTCAGGCTTTGGGAAACTGCCCATATAAATTCTTTACTGTACTGGCCCAGCCTTCCCCAAATGCAGTGGGGATATTTATGACATCGGTTGAGTCTAATAAAGGAGTTTTACAGAATTTATTTTAGAATATATTTTATTATGATCTACATTGCCTAGGTAATGTCATGTACATAATTTGGGTCGCAATCAGAGAAGGTTAAGAACCACGTGGTCTAGAATACATAGTGCTAGGATGCATTCTACAGAATATATTCTAAATGAAATGAGGTTCTCATTTGGGTTTCTACACCTGCTGACTCTTAAACACTTTCAGCACTAAGATTACTTTAAGAATTCCCAAAACCCAATAAATACAATTTCATTTTAAAATTATGTAGCCTCAGTTTCTATATACTTTTCTGAAAAACGCATCATACTGGCCGGCAACCATTTTCTTCTAACTAGCAGACATACGTAGTGTAAATATTTTATTTAATGAAACCAGTAAAAAATATGTAATTATTTCTTAAATTAATAATCTAGATTCTAACACAGTGTTTCAACATTTTTTTTTAAATACAGTTTTTACATTTTATAATAAATAACAAAGGGTAGTACTACATAGCTCAACATCGTGAATGTTGATTAATTAGGAAGTGTTTTGTTTTTTTTTCTGGATCATTCTAGACATATCCATATATTTGGAGTGCATTATGGCCACAATATAAAATATTAAATTAATAAAAACCATTAACAAGGATTCTTGCTTATACACCTATTCACATGTGCTTTACAAAAATTACAAAAACCCTTCTGCTGCCTTGTAAGCAGCCGCTCCTTATGCTGAAATAATACAAATGGTATAAAGGAAGTGTTTTGACAATCTAGGAAGCAAAAATGTTTCTTTGTTGATATAACAGAATTGAAGCCAGTGAATTAAGTACCTGTTTAGTAATATGATGTGAATCATTAAAATCTTTGTTATAGGTAAAATATATATATGTATCCATTACTTGCCAAATGGATTCCAAATGGTGTTCAGTCATTAAAATTTGAGTATTTCAAACAAACATTTGCCATGTAATATCCATTTGGTTATTTGCAAATGGTAAATCGGTTATATGAACCATATTTGCATTTCCACTCATATTTTGCTCATGTAGGCGTTAAGGTTTGCCAACCTCCATACAAGCTTGCTAATTTGGCTATTCACAAAAACACGGAATTGTAACCCCTTTTTTAACCAAATCCCCTCTATTCAAATGTCCCAATTTCCGTAATATAGACTAACTGTGAATCCTCTCTAATATCTGATAGCTGATATATTCCTTCTGATATCAGGGATATTGGGTTCCATTCAGTTAAAGTTAAGTTTGACCTATTATCATATCCATTTCACTGCTGTGATAAGACATGTTTGGAAATAAAAGGGTACCATTTACCATATTGAGGATTCGATTTAGTTGATTGTGTATAAAAAGTGAACCTCAGAGGAATTTTATAAGCTAAAATAAAGAGAATCATATGAAAGTCACCAAACTTGCTATATAGCAAAGTTGGCTTTTAGTGATCAGACCCTCATAGCGTTTCCAAAGCTAAGGAATGGAAGAAAATTTTTCTTTTTTCAGAATAATCTGTCGCCAAAAAGCGCATTGCCCTTGGCCACAATAAAAGGATATTCAAATGTTACAAAATCGAGCAAAACTAGCTGTAACCGAAAGAGCAAAGCTAGGATCACATAGTGACTCATACGTAGGAATTAAACGGGCTAACATGCCAGCAAAGCTATACATTATTGCAAAGGCAGCATTGTCATGAACACTTTGTATCGCTGGTGATTGTTTTCTCCTATTTTTGGATAGAGAGGAAGGCGCTTTATTGATTGGTGGATCTTTCTAGAGCATGTTCTAGAAGTGGGATGGACAGAATGATGTCCCATTCAGGTAGGGACATAGGCACAGGCTAGAATACAGCTGACCACAAACACATCAGCATTTATCCAAAAGAGAAAGGAAAGCTTCCAATTGTACATACTGTATCAGCATCTTTATGTACTTCTAAACCTGTAAGTTATGTGCAGTAATATATACATCCCCAGCATATTGGACTCTGTGTAACCTGAAATAGTAATGTGGCTTCTCCATTCTTGATAAATATAGTAGCTAAAAGTTTTTATATTTTATTTCCTTGGCTCAAAATCTATCATTTAGATTACTGAGGCTCTGACGCACTTTTCGAATCAGTCTCATGTACAGGTCAGTACAGGAGTTCTTGTAGTAGATGTTAGAAATCCATTGACGTGAATGTCTGTACTTATCCGTGAAACAAAACGAATGGCATCAGAATAGTTTGTCTCTTATTCAATGCTGTACTGTCATCTTGGAGAGGAGCTGACTTTAGCAGGAGAAAGAGTACCTGATGTAGATTGTTTAATAGGAGAAGAAGGCATTTTGACAGGACTCATTGACTCAGCAGTCTGTAGTTTCCAAACCAGTTCTTCATTCGTCCTGCTTAGTCTCTTCTTTTCCTTACTTTCTTTCTCCACACTCTCGTGCAAATTGGCGTTTTCAGCAGATAACTGTCTGGAAGATACAATAGACAAACTTATCACAAACCTATGATTTAGAGTTTTATCAATGCTTTATCTGTTAAGAATGTGTAATTGGAATAGCCATCCAGCTGAAGTGGTAGAGGTTAACACAGTGAAGGAGTTTAAGCATGCGTGTGATAGGCATAAAGCGATCCTAGCTATAAGATAAGGCTAGGGACTAATGAAAGTTTTTAGAAAATTGGGCAGACTAGATGGGCCGAATGGTTCTTATCTGCCCTCACATTCTATGTTTCTATGGTCATGGGATTATGGGTGAGGGTGAAGGGCTGTTCCTAAATACAGAAAATGAAGAAAATTACATGAACTTTTTTTTATATGAAAACAGTTATCATGGAAGTGGCTGCAGTGGATTTTATTAACATGGAATCCTGTTGTACACTAATATACACCATAATACGTTGTTTACACTTACCTGGTCACGGCAACGTTCTGGTCAATTCGAGCTTTCAAGTCCTCGTTCTGCTGCTGGAGAACTTGAATCCTTTCCTCCAGGATAACATTTATTTCAGCCTGCATCAAGAAACAAAATAGTCAAGTTATTAATCCTCCAATACATCAAGACAACAAATAATAAAATATTCTATGTACGTAAGAGGTGTGGAACAACTGGTGGAGAATGCCAGGAGCTAGGAAGACAAACTGATACTTTTCCAGTATTCTCATGTTTGGTTTAAGTCAAAATAAATTTGCTTATAACACATATCCACAATACTG